ACTGGCCACATTGACCACTCTGCCCTTGGCCTTCTTAATGAGCGGTAACACGCTCAGAGTGATGGCAACAACCCCGATCAGATTGACATTGATCATTTGTTTGAAGTCCTCAATTTCCAGCCAGTCACTGGGAGCAGTTGGGAAGGAGACCCCAGCGTTGTTGACCACGGCCCACAGACCTGCAAACACACACAACTCAGTAAAACCTTTCACCCAACTCAGTTCTTTCATCACAGGAAATTGCAAAATACACAGGAAGTGTCATGTGAGAATCATGTGAAGGAACTACTCGACCAACAACTTCATTAAAGAAGGATAATAAGGATAATATTAGGAATTTCATTATTCCAACAACAAGAACATAATTAATTAAAGCATTTAGTTTTACTAATTATTCCTGACATTTAATATATATTTTGTTATTTTTTTATTGAGAGAACTAAACAAAAATTAATTGACAAATAATCAGACTTAAATTATGCTTTATTTCACCATTGTCCATAAAACGAAATTTTATTAATTAAATAATACATTTAAATACATTAAAATTAAAAATTAAATACATTTTGTATAGATGACATTTCAAATAAATTTTTCTGGAAATGCATATTATGTATGTGTGTATATATTGTGCATTACCCCATGCATTGTGAATATGAAAACATGCAATTATGATCAAAGGTGTTAAATGAATTTCTTTGAATTTTAAAGTAAAATCTTGCATTAAATTTTAAATGCATCCATTTAAGATCAGGAATTAAATATTAAATGCATTCTTAATTTCTTAAAATTTTAATTATGTCTCTTCTGCTCACCAAGGCTGCATTTATGTGCTCAAAAATACAATAAAAACAGTAATATTGTGGATTATTATTATAATCAAAAACAGATATTTTCTTTTTGTAGTTTATTCCTGTGATGCAAAGCTGAATTACTCCAGTCTTCAACATCTTTCTGTGACCTACCTCTCTCTCCCACCAGGGTTTTAATGGATTCTGCAGCTTTTTTGATGCTAGAATTATCAATCACATCCAAATGCAGCGTTGTGAGTTTGTCAGAGCAGCACTTCTTCAGCTCAACTTCTCCCTTCTCCGTGTAGCAGCCAGCAATGACACAGAAACCCTTTGCGTCCAGGTGTTTGGCCAAGAGATTCCCAAACCCCGTGTCACAGCCTGTGATGTACACAAACTTCTCCGATTTATTGGGAACTCGTCCCAGTTCTCTGAACCACCGATAGACATAGAAGAAGACTGTGAGACCTACAATGTACAGGAACATTTCTGCAAAAGAAAATATATTTGTTTTTATAAGCAAAGTGGATCCAGAGTCATGCAAACCCCCCAAAGATATGAAAGAGAGCGCATGCGGTCAAAGCTCTACTCAAAGTACATGACCTAGTGAACCATTAACTTTTTGGCTTATGATTGTAGATCAGAAAGTGCAGGTGCATCTCAATAAATTATAATGTCGAGGAAAAGTTAATTTATTTCATTAATTCAACTTAAATTGTGAAACTCGTGTATTAAATAAATTCAATGCACACAGACTGAAGTAGTTTAAGTCTTTGGTTCTTTTAATTGTGATGATTTTGGCTCACATTTAACAAAAACCCACCAATTCACTATCTCAACAAATTAGAATACTTCATAAGACCAATAAAAAAACATTTTTAGTGAATTGTTGGCCTTCTGGAAAGTATGTTCATGTACTGTACATGTACTCAATACTTGGTAGGGGCTCCTTTTGCAAATCAGATGTGTCTGGAGTTTTTGTAGTATTATTTTATGCATAGAAAAAACATCTAAACTATACCAACAACATTACCATCCATCAGTACAGGTCTGTAGAAAAAAAACAATTTCTTTAAAGTTTTTCCAGTCCTAAGATGGGATAATGTAGTATTATTAAATTTTTATTATAGCATTTATTAATATTTTGAATTAGCTTTTCATATTTCAATTTTTATTGTAATTTTAGTTGAACAAATTTTTATTCGTTTTTATATATAGCTTTAATATATTTTATAATTTAAATATTTTATTAATTAATAATTAATTTAATATTTTTGAATCGTTTTACCTTTAGATAACAATAGCAACTGGTCCTGGGATCGGTTTCTAGAAACAGATCAAACCGTTTCCTGTGTTTGTGAATCTATAAACCGTACATTCCTGAACACAGGAAGCGACCTCAGACTTCTTTGAAACGGTGTATCTGTACGGAGCAGGAATCACTTGTTTTTTGTGAATCCTGCGGCTGTAACGGCTCAGGGCTGCTGCACAATAGTTCATTTAACAGAGGCAGATATACAAAAGGACTTCAACGATTCAACTAAAAGTGTGAACTGGGACTGAGACGCAGATGAGATGCATAGGATACATTCAGACTGACAACCCAAAAATATACCTGCCAACAGGAACGGATCCAATTCTGTATATGAACAGGTACATTTCTAGTCAGTCGCTTTCTAGAGGTATAAATATTGTATTGTATTGCCAGTCTAAGAATTCAGGCCTTTGAGTTGTATTTTTATTAACTAAAGTTAACAAAGAATATTAACCAATGTATTGCTCATTGTTACTTATGTTAACTAATGGGACTTTATTGTAAAGTGCTACCAGAATGCCTTTTACATCCACTAAAATCCATTATCATGTAAATATCTTAAAGTCAAGGATTAATGCATGATGTACAAATGCAACTTTATGGCAGATTATTACAAACAACGTCACCAACCTTTATCATTTTAACAGTAAAAATTGATTAATAAGTGCTAAGTGATTTATCACAGGTCAAAAAATACAGTGCAGTTATTCACTGTTCGGTCACTGACCTAATTATACACACTTTCACACTTTGTTAACTTATGTAAAATTTTGTCTCACCAATATTAGAGTGTCCAATATATAAAATATATGTTTCCAAATAAATAAAACCTATGCGTGTTTTGCATGCTTTTGCAAGGCTGTAATTAACTGACAAATGCATGCATGCCATATTTTTTGCATGCCAAAAGTTTTTCATTTGTGAGTAATTTTTTGGCCACCAGATGTCAATATTAGTACGCTGGTGTTTCTATTACTTTTTTATTACTCTACTTATCTATGTTTCTCTTAATCAGTTGTGCACAAAAATCTAAATTTTAATCTAAGATTAGTCCTTATGGTATATATATTTTCAGATCTTTCAGAGGTTTTGAAAATGTACTGTTTTGATAAGGATTGACGTAGGTGTCAGGATTGGACTGTCTTTGTTGTGTTTTGCTCCCCATGCGCTCCCCGTGACCCAGTTTCTCCCTCATGTGCCCTTATTTGGTCGTTCCTGTTCCTGTCCTCGTTGTCTCTTAATTAGTCATTCTGTTCACCTGTGCTTCTCCCAATTGCCTCGTTAAGTCATGCATTTAGTTCCAGTCTGTGCGATTCTTCTTTGTTGGGTCTACCAGTTGTGTACGTGTGTCTTCCTTCCCTTCCAAGTGTGGATTTACCCTGTGTGTTGGATTGAAGAAAAGGCAGTTTCGTTTATCCACGGCTCCTTCGTTCCTTCCGGCAGCGTATCGTGACAGAAGACCCCACCAAGACCGTTTAACTACGTGTCTCCTCTCCATTTGTTTTCTGCTTTCCATTCAGTGTTTTTTGTTTCCGTAGTGTTTCCTTCCCCATGGATTCCCTCGCTGTCAAGTTTACCTCCCTCGCCCGCAAGGACCTTTCCCTCTTGGAGTATGCTGTGGAGTTCAGCCAGCTCGCCGTTTTAACGGCGTTTGATGATGCTGTGCTGGACTCCCGGTTCTGGATCGGGGTCAACTACTACCACCCCGTCGACCTCCCAGACACCACCGGACTGTGCTGGAGGGAGGCTATCATCCAGTGTCTAGAGAGCATCTACCCCTGATCCAGAACACAGCCAGACCCAGAGCCCAGCCCACCATCACCCCGCTGGAGCTTAAGCCAGAGCCGCGACCGACGAGCCATTGCCAGAGAGAGCGACAGTGCTGAGGATCGCCCCGGAGCCCGAGCCTGTGACGTCAGACCAGGTGCGAGAGCCGGCTACAGAGCTCGCTACTGGGGAGAGCGTCATGGACGGTGAGAGCGCGAAGAGGAGCTCCGCCCCATGCACCGTGGCTGAGGGTGAGCTGTCTAAGGATCTGGGTAAAGGAAAAGTGGAAAGAGACTTAACTGATTTGTATACCGAGCCCCCTTTCCTCCCTTGGAGTATGCTGTGGAGTTCAGCCAGCTCGCCGTTTTAACGGCGTTTGATGATGCTGTGCTGGACTCCCGGTTCTGGATCGGGGTCAACTACTACCACCCCGTCGACCTCCCAGACACCACCGGACTGTGCTGGAGGGAGGCTATCATCCAGTGTCTAGAGAGCATCTACCCCTGATCCAGAACACAGCCAGACCCAGAGCCCAGCCCACCATCACCCCGCTGGAGCTTAAGCCAGAGCCGCGACCGACGAGCCATTGCCAGAGAGAGCGACAGTGCTGAGGATCGCCCCGGAGCCCGAGCCTGTGACGTCAGACCAGGTGCGAGAGCCGGCTACAGAGCTCGCTACTGGGGAGAGCGTCATGGACGGTGAGAGCGCGAAGAGGAGCTCCGCCCCATGCACCGTGGCTGAGGGTGAGCTGTCTAAGGATCTGGGTAAAGGAAAAGTGGAAAGAGACTTAACTGATTTGTATACCGAGCCCCCTTTCCTCCCTCCTCCGTCGGTGACCTCTGTCCCTCCCGTTCCTGTTTCCACATCCAGCCCAGAGATGGCTCCTGTTCCCAAGTTAAGCCCGGAGAGCCCGGAGGCTCACAAATGCCCGCCCATCCACCCACTCCTGCCTGCTCCACCGCTGTCGTCTGGCAGCCCTCTGCTCGCCCTCAGCCCACCATCTGTACGGTGTGAGCTCCGCGGGTCTGCCATCCTCCATCGTCACCGTGGCTGGAGAATCCCTGGCCTCCGCCTCCAGCCGCTAAGCCCCGGACTCCACCTCAGCTCGTCGACCCAGCGGCTCCACCATGGCTCCTAGCTACCTCCTCTCCATTGTGGCCCATCAATCCACTGGCTCCACCGGGCTCCCTCGTCCCTCCGGCTCCGTCTTGGTCTGTCGTTGAACATCCGTCGCCTTGGGACTCCACTCCTCTGGCTGCACCTCGTCCCTCCGGCTCTGTCAGGCTCCTCCATCCCATCATAAATTGGGCTGTTCTGAAGGCTCCAAAAATATCAATAAAAATAGTAATATTACAGGGGGAAAAAACACTTGTCTATTCACTATTTTGTTGAAGCTTGATCCAAATAATTTCTATATCCATGAGGAATCTGTGAAAAATACATCAGGTTTTTTTTTTTCATTTCTACTGCACTGGATTCAGATAGTGGGGATGCATAGGAGTTTTGTTATCAGATATTGATCATTTATATTGTTTTTGAGATGACATGTCACCAGAAGGGTTGAATGACCACTGGGCTATTAAACTATGACCTATTAAATTATCACCTTCATACATGATGCGTTTATTAAATCAGTCTAAATGCATTAGTACAGTGGAAAAATTTGGTTTAGAAACAATTTTCACTCAGAAATTGTGAGTAAATTTGATAAACAATTACAAAGTAATGGCTAGTAACAAAGTATTTTCTTGTAAAACATACTCCAATTATAATTGTTTTATTTACAGCTTCCAAATAATAATAATAATAATAATTTTTACAGTGTAAATAAGGGGGAACATTATTAAGGACTATTCAAAATAACTATGACTCATTATTATTTATTATGACACAAATGGTACATTATAGACCTCAAATAAAAAAATAGATAAATTAATAAGGATCCGTCTGTTAGACTCTCTATCATCATACTCAATATTGCAAGACCAACCTAATGAACTAACAACCCAACGGTCATTCAACCCAATTTATTACTGATGTCTATGAGATGACGTTGACGTTAATAATCTGCTGTAAACCTCAATGTGATTTGATAAGTGATTCATACATGTGACTGAACTCATTAACTGTTTTAACATTGTTTGTTTTCCCACAAACTCATTATACACTATTTAGAGTAGAGAACAGATTGTGCACACCTTGACCTTGATCAGGTAATGTCTTATCAGTCTAATAAAGGGGAAGATAGTGCACAAGGTGTGGACAGACTGCACTGATAGAAGAGCCCCTCAGGCATGAGAGAAACGCCACTGAAATCAGCTCATCACGGCAGGTATGAATTAGCCCTTCTCGCTTTCTCTACTAGAAAAAAAACACTAACACTTATCACATTTAATGCTCATTTGAAATGTTTTATGAAGTTGATTTGGAAATGAGATCTTTCTGATATCTCAGTTGTTTCACCTACTGTCATGCCCATGGACTGCCCCTGTGTTCCTGTCTTGTGTTTTACTCCCCATGTTCTCCCTGTGACCCAGTTTCTCCCGTGTTTGATTGTGTCTATTTGGTTCAGGTGTGTCTTAGTAATTACCTCGTTGAGTTCCTGTTACTTAAGCCATGTGTTTTCCTGTGTCCTTTGTTCGGTGTTAAAAATCTATTCCTTGTGCTATGTGTGTGTCTCCTGGCTCCCCTGTGTTTCCTTCTGTTTTCCTTGTTCCCACACAGCAGCTGTGACAGAACACCAGACCTTATAACTGTAAGCAGTGCCCCTTCCCCCCCGTTTTTGTTTCCGTTTCGGAACGTTTTTTTTTCTCGTGATTATGGAAACCTCTGTGAGATTCGGTGTCTTAGCCCGTAATACTTCTTTTTGTGGCGTATGGCAGGGAATTCTGTGGGCTCGCCATCTTGATGGCACTGGACGACGCCACACTGAATTCTTTGTTCTGGATCAGGGCCAACTACCATTGCCCAGTCGACCTCCCAGACACTGCTGGACTATGCTGGAGGGAATGGATCCTCCGGTGTCTGGAGAGCATCCGGCCCCGATCCAGAACCGCTATGCAGTCAAGTCAGCCGGCTGCTCCATTGTCAAGTCAGCCGGTGTTCTGACAAATAATGCTACCTATCAGATTATGCTACCAACTCCGTATTTATCCTACTGCAAGGGTAGGTTTAGAGTTGGCGTAGGTGTACATGTTAATAATGCCTCACACCTTATTAATATCATGCTGGAAGCTAAATCTGATAGGTAGCACTTTTCGCTATCGAATCTGAGTGGCCTTTTATTGTGGCCAGCCTAAGGCACACCTGTGCAATAATCATGCTGTCTAATCAGCATCTTGATATGCCACACCTGTGAGGTGGATGGATTATCTCGGCAAAGGAGAAGTGCTCACTAACACAGATTTAGACAGATTTGTGAACAATATTTGAGAGAAATAGGCCTTTTGTATACATAGAAAAAGTCTTAGATCTTTGAGTTCAGCTCATGAAAAATGGGGGCAAAAACAAAAGTGTTGCGTTTATAATTTTGTTCAGTGTAATTGTATCTGTTGTTTTTAATGTCAAATACTTACATTTAACCAAATACTTACAAAGACAATCAATCAAAATACTTTAAACTGTTGGAAAAACAACTGACTAGTATCTAAATTATATATTTAAAGCATTTTTTTAAATTGTCGATTATTGCTCTTGATATTGTGATAATAATTATTAATGTTGATTAATAGAATATATTAAAAATAATAAAACCTTTTGTGTTATGTGTCTGCATTTTGGGGAAACAGTTCGACATATTCTGGCTCTGGCTTCACAGACAAACTTGTCGGTCCATGACGTTAATCTAGTCTATGCAAAAACTCCTGTTATAATCTCTGAAGCTACGAAATTAATCGTTTAATTACATCATATCTGTGTTGTTTGACGAGCACAAAAAAAATTTAATCCGTGCGCGCACACTCCACAACAATGCTGGAGTATTCACCATCACCACTGACTTGTCTGAAAGTTTCTGGTCAGCGCGTTTTTAGCGCTGACTAATCTAAGCGTCTCTGATTGGCCACTGCATTCTTAAGATCAACAGAAACGCGTGTGGTTGGTTATAAGGCTCAACATTGCCAAAAAAAAAAAAAAAACGTAAAAAGCAATCTGATGCAATGTGAGCGAATCAAAATTTAATTACGTGAATAGACACTTTTCATAAATTTTCACGTTACATTTTAATTGTGACAGCTGTAATCGATTGTTTAATATTGTAAATTTTTGCCCCTTTATCTTGAATTTGTGTGGCATTTTTGTTAATTTTGGTGCAAGGGCGTAGGTTTGATTTTGGCATTGGTGGGGACACAACGGCAGACAACAGACAATTTAATTGTTTAATCAAAATTATTACTAGCAACAATTTAGTAGTTGCTGCATAATGGTGGGGACATCATAACAAGCAATGCCCAACTTTGTGAACTATAGTTCTCTCCTTAAATATGAAGAGGTCAAGCAACAGATTGAGTTACTCCAAATTTCACAAAAAAGCTAATGGAGGTAATTATAAGTCAAACATTGAATGAGTTGCTGTTTTTGTCACTCTTCTGAGGAAGATGCCATTCACATGTTTTGGCTAAATTTCACATTCATAAACAAAATCTGGCTCTGAACCTCTCTTGTCTTTTTTCGAAGTTGATCTAGATAAGTACATGGAAACTATTGTTACTACACTTTTACTATAGTAAAACCAGGGTTCATTTTCTTAAGGGATTTGTATTGTGTATACTTACTTTGTTTTTATAACTGTACTGCCTTAATGGTTTGATGTTTTCTACTGTTTCATGAAAAAAAGATATCAGAAAAAAAGATCTCCGAACCTGCACCGAAGTCCCTATCTGAATCAAACGATTCGCAAACCTGCACCAAAGTTCCGATCTTAATCAAATGATTCATGAACCTGCATCAAAGTTCCGATCTGAATCAAACGATTCACGAACCTGCATCAAAGTTCCGATCTGATCTCAAACGATTCACGAACCTGCATCAAAGTTCCGATCTGATCTCAAACGATTCACAAACCTGCATCAAAGTTCCGATCTTAATCAAATGATTCACGAACCTGCACCAAAGTTCCGATCTTAATCAAATGATTCATGAACCTGCATCAAAGTTCCAATCTGAATCAAACGATTCACGAACCTGCACCAAAGTTCCGATCTTAATCAAATGATTCATGAACCTGCATCAAAGTTCCGATCTTAATCAAATGATTCACGAACCTGCACCAAAGTTCCAATCTTAATCAAATGATTCATGAACCTGCATCAAAGTTCCGATCTTAATCAAATGATTCACAAACCTGCATCAAAGTTCCAATCTAAAACAAATAATTTGCGAACCTGCACCAAAGTTCCGATCTGAATCAAATGATTTGCAAACCTGCGACAAAGTTCCTGAATCAAATGATCCGATCTGAAAATTAATTTTAAGCTGCAATAAAGTCTGCAATAAAATCTAAATTCTGTCTGTGTTTGAAGGCATGGCAGTGACAAAACAAAAAAAGAGAAAGCACTGACCGTTGGATTCTTTCAGCTGGTAAGCGTTTCAATGTGATTCTGCTTTTTAGATTGATTTAATGCTTGATTTTTCTCTCATATCACTGTTTTTGATTTCTGGCCAGTTCCGCTTTGCCACATGGAAGGAGGTGCTGATTATGGTGGTGGGAAGCGTGTGCTCACTGGTCCATGGCGCCGCGTCTCCTCTCATGCTGTTGGTGTACGGCATGATGACCAACACCTTCGTGGACTATGAGCTTGAGGTTCATGAACTGGCCAACCCGAACAAAACCTGCATTAATAACACCATCACCTGGCTGGACGGGACTGTAGTCGAGCGGCCGGACAACAGCACCGCATACTGTGGGTGAGTGAGGATAATATTCAAGTCTTCCTGTGTTATCTTTTACTATTGTTAGATTTGTTCATGAATCTGTCATTAGTGGTGTTAAATATTAAACTTTGCATTGACAGATCAAAACGTGCATTTTGAAGAATGATCTGATTTTTTTAGTGGACGATAAACAATACATGAAGAATATTTTTTGAAGTTGATTATTGGAGCATGTTTTACAAGAAAATAATTTTTTTTACTTCAAAGGTTCACTTTTAATTAAATGTGTTGCTTGTCATTTCTTTGTAATTATTAGTTAAATTTACTAGCAATTTCTAGGATTTCAAATCCTACACGTTGTAACAAAATCTAGTTTATTTTTCATGTTTGTGACTTCTTTTTCCATGTAGTGACATCAACAAAATCAACAATGCTATAGCAGACCAGGTGTCTATCTTCATCGAGAGGATCTCAACGTTCATATTTGGTTTCATGGTGGGATTCATCGGTGGATGGAAGCTGACGCTGGTGGTGATAGCAGTCAGTCCTCTCATAGGACTGGCTGCAGGACTCATGGCGATGGTTGGTATCACCTATAGAAAGTTTGTAAATGTAGACACATGAATGGGAGAAATCTCAAAAGGTAATGCATGATTTAAAGGAATAGTTCACCCAAAAATGTGATGCAAATTTACTCATCTTCCAGCCATCTAAGATGTAGATGAGTTTGTTTCTTCATCAGAACAGATTTGGAGAAGTTTAGCATTGCATCACTTGCTCACCAATGGATCTTCTGCAGTGAATGGGTGCCGTCAGAATGAGAGTCCAAACAGCTGATAAAAGCATCACAATAATCCATAAGCAATCCATACCACTCCAGTCCATCAGATAATTTCTTGTGAAGTGAAAGGCTCTTTGAATATAACAAATCCATCATTAAGACTTATTTTACTTGCTTCTTCTGTTTGTAATTGAAAAAATGATCTTGTTTGAATCAGGAGAGAAATATGCACAGATCAAGCACCGTTTACAAGTAAAAACAGCCCTAAATAGTTCTAAACAAATATATCAGTGGATTTTGATGTGAAGACGACATCAGAGACTTTTACACTGGAATAAGCTTTATTATGGACTATGGCCTCGTATTTGGAATTTGGAAAATTCACAAGCCGTTAACTGATGGACTGGAGTGGTGTGGATTATTGTGATGTTTTAAACAGCTGTTTGGACTCTCATTCTGACGGCACCCATTCACTGCAGAGGATCCATTGGTGATGTAATGCTACATTTCTACAAATCTGTTCTGATGAACAAACAAACTCATCTACATTTTAGATTAAAATTGGCATTTTGTGTTTCATCATTCAATCACCCATCATTATTTTTTCCTATTTAAGTGTGCTGTAAAAAATTTTATATTTTTGATGTGAAGGCTGTAGCGAGGCTGACGGGTCGTGAGTTGTCGGCCTATGCTAAAGCAGGAGCAGTGGCTGATGAAGTCATTTCCTCCATTAGAACGGTGGCCGCTTTTGGAGGAGAGCACAAAGAGACAGAGAGGTACAGTGTGCCCTCTTTATCTGCCAATGCAAACCTATTTACATCTGGATATACAAAGTGAAACAGGATATTTAATGAGAAAACACACTGAATGTAAAGGTATTCTGAACCTGGAATAATGTGGGCTGTAAAAAGTGGGCATTATGGTTGGAATGAAGGGTTGGAAAGCGTAAAAGTGGTGGTGAGGTCATTTATAAGGTAAGACAGAGCAAGTAATTGCATCTTGGTGAAAGAATACAAAAGCATTGTTTTTATTGGGATGAATCTTCCAGTCATGCACAGGTACAGTGGGTACGGAAAGTATTCAGACCCCCTTAAATTTTTCACTCTTTGTTATATTGCAGCCATTTGCTAAAATCATTTAAGTTAATTTTTTTTCCTCATCTGTAGAGTGATGGTTATTTCCACAGGTATGACAGGAACCTCGTGGTGGCCCAGGCGTGGGGTATTAAGAAGGGAGCGATCATTGGTGTGTTTCAGGGTTACCTTTGGTGCATCATATTCTTGTGTTATGCACTGGCTTTCTGGTACGGCTCAAAACTGGTCATTGAAACCAAGGAACTCACACCTGGCGGCCTTGTTCAGGTATGACATCCAAAGTGATTCAAAATAACCATAAAAGATATGTAGGAAATAAAAATAACAATAAAAAGTAGGAAATAAAATTGATTTGAAATGTATTAAAAAGAAACAAGAAAAGTATATAGGAATAAAAAATAAAATTGTATCGTTCAGTCAGAAGGATGCAACACATTATTTTATGAAATGTTTTTGTTCTCTTCAGGTGTTCTTTGGTGTTCTTATGGGCGCCATGAATCTGGGCCAGGCCTCTCCTTGTCTTGAAGCCTTTGCTTCTGGTCGGGCCGCAGCCAAAAGTATATTTGACACTATTGACAGGGTGAGAATAACACACACACAGTTCTTCTCCCAAAATCAATGAATTTCATTCTTTCAGCTTCAGGGAAAGATTAATCACTGCCACATCCTGTTCCCATACAGCAACCAGAAATCGATTGCTTCTCAGAAGAAGGTCATGCGTTAGACAAAGTTAAAGGTGACATTGAATTCCACAGTGTTCACTTCAACTATCCCTCTCGTCCTGAAGTGAAAGTGGGTTATGTTTTTAGCATGCATAATTTAATCTAATGTTTGCATTAAACAGTTAAATTCTATCCAGCATTGACTGGCTGTATCTTGTGTTCAGATATTAGATGATTTGAATGTTGTGGTCAGAGCTGGTGAGACGACTGCATTTGTTGGACCCAGTGGATCAGGAAAGAGCACAACAATCCAACTCATTCAGAGGTTCTACGACCCAAAAGAAGGAATGGTACAGTAATACAAACTAGTGTTATTTTAGTATTATATATACTGTTACAGTGTTTATTAATAGTTTGAATTAGTTTTTATTTTCACATTTTCAGTTTTCATTTTATTTTTTTAATTTAATTTTATGTTAATTTAATTTCATGTAATTAAAATTTTTATTATTTTTTTTATTCATTTTTGTTTTTTAATATTTCTATTTAGCTTTAATTTATTTTTATTTAACTTTTAGTTTTAGTAATTTTAGGACTTCGACTTTAAGTAAGGACTGCTAATTATGTCAGCTCAAATTTAAATTTTTCATCAAATATTTATATTTTATAATATTTTAGCTTAATTTGAATTACTGAAAAAAATGTGTTTATAGTTTTAGTTAACAATATCAACAATGGTTTTTAACTTCATAGGACCTCAGTTATTTCCATCAAAATAAGAAACAACAACAAAAAAACAACCAGCCAAACAAATAAATAAATACATTTGTTTAGCATTTAATTTAAAATTTTCATCTGATATTTGTAGTTTCTAATATTTTATCTTCATTTGAATTACTGAATTTTTTAAAAATAGTTTTATAATTTTAGTTAACAGTATTTCATAAAACATCCATTATTTTCAAATAATAAATCAATCAATAAATACAATTATTTATTTAGAACTGAATTTTCATTTTTCGTCTATTAATTATATTTTAGCTTTATTTGAATTAGCAAAAAAAAAAAAAAAAGTTTTAGTTAACAATAACACTAGTTCACACTCCTTAGACAATTTCATAGGACATTAGTTATTTCCAACAATAAATAAATAAATATATATATATATATATATATATATAAATTAATCTTATTATTTCATCTTATTTGTTAAAATGTCTCCTAAAATATTAGTAATGCATTCAAATCTAAAACCAAATGTCTGATCTAGTGTTGAAAATCTAAACTATTTTCATTTTTAGGTCGCCCTGGATGGTCATGACATCAGAAGCCTGAATATTCAGTGGTTGCGTTCTCTTATTGGCGTAGTGGAACAAGAGCCTGTTCTGTTCGCCACCACGATCGCTGAGAACATCCGATTCGGTCGTCCTGGAGTCACCATGGAGGAGATTATAGAAGCCGCCAAACAGGCCAATGCTTACAACTTCATCGTGGATCTACCTCAGGTGCCAATCACTGCATAACATCAGTGCATGCATTACCTCACTGATCAATTACACAAAGTAACACAGGAAGTGCTTGGAGATTTTTTTTATATTAGTTTTGCATATATTAATTTTGCATATCAAACTAAATCAATTTTATGACTGTCGAATCATGCAGAAATTTGACACATTGGTGGGTGAAGGTGGGGGTCAGATGAGTGGAGGGCAGAAACAGAGGATCGCCATTGCTCGAGCGCTGGTCAGGAATCCCAGAATCCTCCTGTTAGACATGGCCACATCAGCGCTGGATAACGAGAGTGAGGCTGTAGTACAGGAGGCCTTGGACAAGGTGAGTTTACAACAACTATTAACTAAGACCAAAATGTAACTTCTCCTAAAGTCTTCAAGCTACATCCATCAGTTCGGCACAGTCCCTCATCCTGTCCTGACTTTTTGAAGTAGAGTCAAACCCAAATTTATTCAGACACCTTCAACATTTCTCACATTATCACAGTTTATTTGCTATAGTTTAGAAAATGGTAATAAAATATGACAAGTGCTTAAGAGTTAAACTGTGTCAGAACAAATTCATCTTGATAATGTCAGATAGCTTTGATAGAAAGGTATGTAATGAATTACAATCAACCAAAAATTATTCAGCTGTTAAATTTAAGTACACAATTAGATAATACCAATTTAGTTCAACCAATTACCAAGCAATGCTTAATTTTGTTCAATCTGTGGTGTAAAAAGGTTACATTAGCAATTAAAGAAAAAACACGTAAGCAAAACATGGTCAGGTCGAAGTGTCTGAATAATTTGTGGTCCCAAATTTTTATCAGTTTTACTGGTAGTCCACTGTATGAAGAATTTCTGGGTATAATATGTCACAGTTCACTTTAATTTTGCTATCCTCACTTACATAAATGAACTATAGTGTCCTGCACCCACTAGTAAAGATATCAAAAATTATATCTGGTGTCTGAATAATTTTTGGTTTGACTGTATATCTCCTCTAACTGACTGGATGGTTTTCTCATAGCTGATGGGATCTATTCCATAAAAAACACTTAGAACACCTTAAGCACCCAGAAACACCCTAGAGACCACCTGACAACCATTTAGAACACCTTAAGGGCCCAGCAACCACTTAGAACACCTTAAGCGTCCAGCAACACCCTAGAGACCACCCGACAACCATTTCGAACACCTTAAGGGCCCAGCAGCACCCTAGAGACCACCCGACAACCATTT